TATTAAATTCCATAAACTTGACTGATCTGTGTTAACACACATACCAGGTAAACATGTTCAGTGCAAATGTAGCTCTTACTGACAACAATTGTAATGCTGATATATACTTTGTTCAAAAACACTGGACACGATGGCCAAGTTGTTAATGTTATAATTTGGTGTTTTTGTTCTTGGATGATTATATTAAGCAGAATGAGCCTCATGAAAGTCTCTCATTTGCTGCTAGTTGTTGAAGTCTCTGATCTGAATAGTCACTACTTAAACCCCAGCACCAGCAGACACTCATGAGTCAGTTGCTAGTGCAGCATCTGCAGCTCAGTGAGTGAATTCTGGAGACTCTGAGCTTTCACATAAGGCATGGCCTTTCCATATACCGAGATATACTTCTACGTGAACCGGCTTAAATAAGGGCAATCCAGGTTCTGTTGTAATTCTAGTACCTTTTTTAAAGGTCGTACAGAGTGTGGTAACATACAGTTCCTAACTTCTTTGGCCATATGGTGTTTTGACACAAGAATTCAAATACTGAGATGTTGATCTAAGTCTAAGTTGATTTGTTTTCCGTCTCTTTGGCTGTAGGTTTCTGTCTGATGCAAACATGCAGCAACCAGTTGGATGTAAGGTCCTGAGACATGCAGAGTAAACTGGAGAATAAAGCCATTTTACAGTATTTCTGAGAGGAAGTAAAATAAGAATGAATATTACAAAAGGCTGAGGTGATTGAAACATGTTTAATTCAGAGGGTTTGACTGAGAGATCTGCCAATCCAGTGCCTAAGCAGAGCAGACACGTTGAGGCTTCATCCCTTCTTTACATGTGTAAAGAGGCTTACAGAGGCTGGGCCTTCTTCAGCTCTCTGATCCTGTGCTTTCAATGGTACACATGTTTCATATGGCATAGATTCAGCACTAAATCTGGAGTGTTTACTTCAGCACTTCTACTGAATGAGTGTTTACAGTAAAGGCAATTTCAGAAGAGGCTGTATTTGTTTTACCCCATTACAAATATATTGTAGAAAAAGAACAGTTGGGGTCAAAATGAGACCACTGTGTGCTGTCTGCGTCTAACACTATGTTTTGTTTTTGTTTTGTTTTTTATCATTCGCAAACCAGGAAGGAACTCTGGTACATTGTTAGCATGCTGTTTGCATTGTGGTAAAACTGCACTCTGGCTTCTGAAAGTGAAGATTATAAACTCATTGCAGGAGATCATTTGGATGCTAGGATTGTGTGAAGAAAGTGAGGAATAACTGTGGACCACTGCAGACAACGTATAATGTAGTAGCTTTTTATGTTTTAAAAAATCGTGTACATTCCTTAAGTGTTTCTCTTTCCTCTGTGTTGCACTTTTAAAAGAATCAATCCACTTGCTTAGAGATAGACCAACTGAATATATCGAGCTGATATTTGCACTTTTTGGTGTATTGGCTTTTGGCTGACTTGCCAAAGACCAGATAGAAAGCTTTATTTTAACACTTTAATGTGAAGAGATAGACATAAAACATGACTCCACAGCTTTTTTAAAGGTTTATGGTAAAAAAAAAAAAAAAAAAGGGGAGAGTGGTACTTTTTTTTTTAATCAGCCTAAACAATCTGCATTGGCCATGAAAAAAAACATCAGTGGAGTCTTGCTGAGCACTATTGAAACTGACTATTAGAAAATGTTCATATGAAAAAGCATTTTTATTTCTAGAATAGAAATGCCTGCTTTCTTTTTTACTAGATTTTGTTTTATTTTATTAATAGTATTATAGTATGAACCTATGATTAATTGGAGGTATATTAGTTAATGTTATCTTAATTTTACTGATGGCATAGGACTTTAAAAACACAAAGGAATTAATGTCACAGAGTGCTTATGCCAAAAGGACGAGCCATTTTGGATGTAGGGAGTTATGCAGGATGACTCAAATATGTACAAATGCTTTAGGTATGTTTGTGACAAGAAAACGTTAGTTCAAAGCTCAAATAGACCACTTTACCATCATATACACCCTATACGCACTCATGACAGCTTTCTTCTGTAAAGCTCTGAACTCAATTATCTAAAGTTCTACCAGTGACAAGAGCACCCAATCAGGTCACACAAGCCCCATAAGTGATTCATCTTCTCAAAGTGAGTCGGCGAGAGACAAATCCACCATTTCTCTCCGAAACAACACATCTCAGTGCAAGAGAACCCCCTGCCAAGCATTTCCAAATAGTGCTGACCCACTAGACTGACACGCCTGAGTGAGAACATTTCAAACGGATCAGTGGGACTTGAGATTGTAGCAGGCAGCTAGCTTCAGGAGCTGGGGCAGGTATAATGGTACAAGGTTTAATATCATAAGCTAAAGTAATGAAAGAAATGAAAGGAAGTGACTCTAATAATTATAGTTACAGTTGGAGTTAAAGGTGTGATGTGTAGCTTTTTTGGTTATGGGGAACCATGTGGTTGTCTCCATAGAGATGTTATTGCTTTGCATGAAATGTGATGGTTTTGGTGTGGATCAATGTGTTTTTGTGGTTTAAACGTATCTGAAAAACAAAAGAATTCTTACTGTTTTCTGCTCTCCACAAATCTGACTTGTCACTTTGCCTGGTGGAGATAGATAAGTCTAATGTCATACTATGGAACATTCCAGGAAAATGCAATTACATTTCCATCGAGACAAGCAGGTGGTGGACCCTTGACCAGAAAAGTTTCATATTGTACTTTTAAAAACAGTACTACTCAACATACTCAATGATGATTGAATATTATAATCTGGTTTATGATTTCGAGTTAATGTAAGCAGAAAGAGGTGAGTACAATCTCTTAGTCGTCCAGATCGAAACCATGGCAAGAGGAGAAATTCAGTTTGTCAACTGGACAAAATTTTATTTGGTCGAATACGTTTCACAGCTTATACAAGGTGTAAGCTTCAGTTTTGAAGAACTGAAGAAGCAGCTTGGATGAGCTGTAAAATGTATGAGTTGAGTTGAGTAAATGTAAGTGTAACCCACCTCTTTTTTTTAATCTAAGTCGTCGGGTGAAGGCTCTCCTTGTATTGTCGACATTGCTGGCTCAGTCTTTTCTTTTGTCAGCATCACTGTCTACACTAACACTTTTGCCTCCAGCCACCAGGAATCAAGTTTATACACAAAACACACACCAGCACTCACTCAAGGGAGCAGTGCACTAGTCAGATACTCCCTATGAAGGCTATAGGGCACCTCATCCTGCAGCTATCACACTAATGAAAGAACAACCTTACACTCCTGTCCTCGCCCCTGCCTTGTATAGACGTGTGTACCTCACTGTTCATTCCCTACAGATAATAGTACAATGTGCAGAGTGGAGTTTTGAACCTGCGTTTTCAGCACTCGTTAGGCTTCCTGTGTCTCATTAGTTTCCCTGACCGAGTAAAGGAGAAAATACTATAGTGATTATATGAACGCACAGCGAGAAGAGCGTGCGCTAGGGTCAGGAGCTGGAGTTTTCATGTCCTCAGGTGGTGTCAGACATCCAACAATGAGTGTCCATGGTGCTCACAGAGAATCTTATCACTCAGAATGAAAGTGTTGGAATGGCTACAGAATCCATTAATTGCCAGTGGAACTGAGCGATGACATGAATGAAACCAGGTGTAGTTCTTATTTCTGGGGTGGTACATTGACATTACTCATGGATCAATATTTTTAGTGTCACTTTAGTTATATCAGTATCTTATAATACATTTAGACTAGAAAAATCTGTGAAAGTAGTATTGTTCCAGATTTGGCTAACTAGGTTGTCATGCTATTATGAGTATGATTCATTTTAAACATCTAATGTCACTCTTTGTTGAGTCAAAATGGTCCATATATGAAAAAGCTAAATATAACTGCTATACTGTATGAGGACTGTGCTCCAGCAAGATGTTTTTATCCAATTTGTCATGGTTTGTGCGGTAAAGGCTCTCTACTCGGTCCAACCACAATTGCATTTCTGGGACTGTGCTTTTCCTTTTTTTCCCTTTAGCTTTTCTGTAGATGACCTAATTGGAATAGCACAATTGAAAAAAAATAAATCACTGTGGAAGGAAATGAATAAAAGCTACCAGTAAGATACAAGTGCTTCTTTTGTGTAGCCTGCATTGTCTACCAATGTGCTATCATGTAAAATCAGCTTTCTGCCATTTGACAACATTCATCTGCAATATGTGTTTATGTGAAAGCCTGACGACACATGGAGCAATATGTTGATCAGAGATTGGTGTCCTTACGAGATGCTAATGCAGCCTGTCACTCAAAAAAAATGACAATGGAATCTGGTTATCCATTTTCAAGACATGAATCCATGCATATATGTATTTTAATAATGGTGAGGTTTTCTATAAATATTTCAACAAGGTCTTATTCCTTGTTTTTAAACTAATCTCGGGCACCTCTTGGAAAGCAGTGTGTGTCTTTTTGTATGAAGCAATTCCACTATGTGCAATTATATCACTATATTTAATGAATAAATATAGACAGATTTGGAAAACTACCTGTTTGGTCAATGCTTCCTGGATACGGGATAGACTTTAGAATTTTACTTTCTGGTTCATGGGTATCAGATGTAATAGATTTACACTGTAGTTAATATTTGAAAAACTTTACTTTCTTAAATGAATGTTTAAACTGAAAAATGTGTTCCTTGTGTAAATTGCCCCTGCATTTTGGATTGAATTTTGTTTTTTTATTACTTTTTTTTTTCCCTCTTCTAATTTCTTAAATTTTTTCCCAACTTCTATTCACAAATTCCCACTTGACAGGTGTAAAACTATGATAAATATTGAGCTCTTGTAGTCTAATTACGCACTAAATGAAAAAAAAAAAATTAAAAGCTATTATATGTACTTTAATTATACACAAATCAAACAACACAACAAGCTTAAAAATTATGAAAATGTCCTTTGAAACCTAGACATTGATGGCCCAAAAATTCTGTTTACTGTAGCATTGAGGCCCAATTTTATTTATTTATTTATTTATTCTATTTTTGTTCTCTTTCAGCATCAAGATGGTGCTGATGTGGACGAGCGGTGACACCTTCAAGACGGGATACTTCCTCGTGACCCAGGCTCCGGTCCAGTTCTGGATTTGCGGTCTCCTCCAAGTGTTCGTGGACTTTGCCATTTTATTCCAGGTTTACTATTACAGCCGCTACCCCCAGAAGCCCATATCCCACACCACCTCCCATACCACCAGTGCCAAAGCTCTGTGAGGGGGCTTCTCTACGGACCTCCAAGCACACTGGAGCTGCGGATATGTAGAGGTATCTGCCATTACCAAAGCACCAAGATGGCTGCCCTACAGAGTCTATATGAAGACACAGCACAGCCATAAATAAGACATGAACAAAACCTGCAGCATTTTAAGAACACATGTTACAAAAACAACTCATTTTGTCTATATTCCACTGGAGTGACTGCTTGCTAGTGTTTAGGAATGCACACACTGTACCATCATATGCTACCCTTGATCTGTGCATGTAGTCAGTATTATGCACATACATGAATATATAGTGTACTTAATGTCCACTCCCACGGACTCTTTGGAAGCCTTTTGTTGTCCAAATATGCTGATGATTGTTGCATGGACCCTCTGCCTTAAATCATCTTTAGTCATTTCCGCGAATATCGATGTTCAATCCATAAGGTGTATTTTTGATAGACTCCCTGACAGGTCTTATCCTTCTTATCCTAGAGATATTGATTAATACAAGCAAACAATCAGACAACTCAGACTGCAGCCCAAGATTTGTTTTTATGCAGAGGAGAATTCTTGAGTGTTATTTTAAGTTATTTTTACCCTCACTTAAGTCACATTTTGGCCCACATGTTTATCACCAGTAACACTATCGGTTGGTAAATATTAAATCAATCCAAAATTAAACCTTTAAATGGGAGTGTTACAATTTGCATTCTGTTTAGCCTCACATGTCTATAAGACTTTTTAAGTATGTAAATTACTTTATACCCATTTGTATAGCACACCAGTTGTATTGTTACTTAAGAATTCATTTGTTTCACACACTGGTTCACCTATTTTGTTCATTTCTGGTTTGCTTCATTACCTGATTCTACTACATAGAGTAGTAGTTGACTTTCTTTTTAAACATGTTTAGTTTTTTCCTCAAATGTAACACCCGTGTAAATCATTCTCTGATGTACAAAAAGGTGTTTGTTCACTGGTGGCTGTTCTTGTCAGTGGAGTGATGCTGGTCAGTCTTCCGCTGGTCGGTCACTGGCCTGTGCAGAGACAGAGGCCTGGAGAACACAAAGACATTGGAGTGAACTAAAGACTGTTAGAGTTTAGCAGAAGAAACCCTCCAGAAGGCCTGAAGCCTGGGTGCAAACTGTTCATGTGAAGGAGATCCAGATTGCAAAGTTTGGAGCCTGGAGACCAAAAGACTTTGTCTGGGCTTTGATGTCAACTGTTCTTGCCAATATTTGAATTGACAAACACCAACTTTTGTGTTACAGCTTAACTCTAAACTGCTGGATTTATGCCAAAAACAAATTTTTCTCAAGACACATAGTGTTGTGCACAGATTTGCATGTGAAACAATGTGAAAATGGTGGGCATTAGGTCAGTTGACTGCAGTATGATTAAACAAGGAAACTTGAACATTACTCAATGCACAGTTATTTGGTATGTTTAGATTTTACAGTGTAGACAAGAGTGTTTACTGATGTCATCTATTCATTCTCAATGTCTGTTTTCTTTTAAGAATACACATGTATGCAAAAGAGAACTTCATTTTATATTATGTCCTAAATGACCCTGCTTCTAAAATTAAAAGTAAATTAAGGTGTGAGTGCCATTTAAACACATGTCACATTCTGTTTCTGAAAATAAAAATACACTCATCTCTATTTTTGCTCATGCTCACTTACATTTTCAGTCTGCTCACCTAAATCCAGCAGGCTAGAACTGGGTCTGCTTTGAAGCCAAACTTTTTATGTTTGAAATAAAAAGGGAAAAAAATTTGTCGACATAAGAATATGTGCTTTTTTAAGTTCATATTATTTTTGTTTTGATGTATTTGCTTAACAAAATACCTTTTATTTTAATCTGGTATAAATGGTCTAAAACACATTTGTGAAACCACTCCCTAGTTGGGCACTGAGCTTTCATATAACTATATGCAGTAGTGTCTGTATAATCCCTCAGCCATTCCAGTAGGATCCATAGCATTTCTTATGCTATATATGCAGTAGTGGAAACAAATCTTTAAATGAACAGGTCATGCTGCATTACAGTTTTCCTCCTATCCTCTTATCTTCAAACAAGTCAACACCAAGACCTCCTGCAGTATGAAGAGACTTACTGTAACTTTCTGTTACTTATAGTTATATTGTTACTTTTGTCTACTACATCACCCTAACATAAGTCAACTCCATTAATGCATGCAGCAACAGATGGAGAGTTTTATTTGTCTTGTCATTATTGTCACTTATGACTCCAACCCAACAGCTGGCGAGTAAAGATCAGTCTTAACTTTTAAGGAGAACTGTAATGCAGCATATGGTTAAAACAGACTTACAACTTTATTTTCTGAACTTAGGTTATCTGTATCCCTATCTTTTAGACACAACACAATGATTATACAATGTGAAACACACATTATTATTTGATCTCTTGGTGACAGATTTGCTCCAGCTGTGGGGCGGTTGGTCCTTTGCGTGATCGCATCTGTATTAGCAGGAAGTGTCTCCTGGTTGGCTGATTATGTCCTTCATATCACAGCTCTGTGCTGGGGCTGCTCATTTCCATTTTGTCACCAAAATCTCATTTCCTCCAGAGGAAATGCAGTGGCCACAGCGCAGCAGGGTTTCTGTGTGCTTTGTGTTGTGAACGCAGCACTGGAATGGTAAATGCCACACCACCTGTCAGACGGAGCAGGGCTAAGCAGGTCCCCCTCCAAGACTCACACTAAATGAAGACAATCTAGTCCAGCAGGAAGTTTTCAGAAGTATTTGAAATCCCATAGTGCCTTTCATTAATACTGACACCCACGATGCAGTCTGGTGATAAGGGTGAGTTGTTTTGTAGTTCTGAAGACTTTCTCATCCTAAGACCCCGAGCTTCTGCAGTTCTCAAGCAATGATTCACCTAAATTCTGGACCTATTTAAACATCCTATCCTAGAACTAAATATATCTGTTGAATGGAAAAAAGTCCTGAAACTGTTGCATATACCAGTGCACTGTATGTCGGAGAAGTCATTGTGGAGAAGTCGGTAGTAGTAGGTATCAGTATTTATTCTATACATTTTAGAATCCTTGACGTATGCTGGTCTTTCTTCAAATGGTCACTGTATTGTTCTGGACAATGTGAGATGCCTACAAAGTGTCTAATTACAATCCATTGTTTCTGTTGTATTATTTCTTTTCTTTTAAAGTATTTTATCAAAGTCCAAAATTCTTTTTTCTGTTCTATTTTATTTCCATTCCTTACAAAAAAAATTTGTGAAATCTTTTATTGTATCATGCCACAATGTTCATTTGTATAACCGTTTTATTTTAAAAGGAATAAAGTGAAATAGAAAATAGTGTTGTTTTGTTTTTGTTTTGTTTTTTTTCATCTTTTCTTTTTTGTAAATAGTAGCTTTTACTTCAAAATAACATTACTCAAGTAGAGTATTAAGTAGTAAAAAGCAGCCTATTAGAAAAATTCTAGGACAAAAGGACAAAACAGTAATTAACAAAATCTGGTATTTTCAAAGGTTATACCATAATTATACCATATCCCCAAAAGTTCAAATCATTTAATATTATCAACATAAAATCACTTATAGAAAGACCAAAAAATTTACTGAAGTAAGAGTTCATTTACACTATAAAAATTATCTTTGAAAACTATATATTTTATTTAAAAATTACTTGAGAATATGAGTACTACCCAGTCAGGCTGTAAAATAATTAAAACATCGTATACCCTACTTTTCTTATTCAGGGCACTATCAAAATAATCCCCATTCTGCCTGCCAAGTTGTGCTAAAATTTTGCATCCAAACTGCATCACTCCACCGTAACTCACTTTTCTTTTCTTTTTTTTACCAGCTTCACAAAAGAGCCCTTTAAGAATGTGTCCTTGAGCAGCCCCAGTTGTCCCATAGCTGTAAACAGACAGTGAAGAGGGGCACTTGAACATGATATATCTGAGATGGTGCTGTTTGGGCCTGGGTGGAGGGTCCTCAGTGACTCCTAAGAACCGCTCTGCCTGGTACACATCACTGTCAGAAGGAGAAGGCACGGCTGCTGTAGACTCACACCTTATAAAGCAAAGAGTAAAGACTATAGTAAGTTCCATACAGCATTGGCTTATCTAACTGTAAAGACATACACGAGACAGTTAAAGTTTCTATATTACACAAAATTGACTGAACTTTAAAGGGACATGCGAAGAATCCCTCAGTCGTCCAGGTAGAATCCATGGCAAGGAGAAAAATCAGTTTGTCGACTGGACCCAACCCACCTAACTTTTGTACAGTCAACAAACTGATTTTTCTCCTTTAAAGGGATAGTGCAGGATTTTGGACATAGTGAGCCAGAATTTTGGAGACATGTGGAGATACTTTTTAAAATATTCCATCCAGTCCTTGTATTTGCAGAGGTCGCTGGTGCTAGGCTAGTGCATGTCAATGGCCATAGTTAGCCTGCCACTAAAAACAGTCTTACCCACTCCACAAAGCAAATCTCTTATTATGCCAGACTGTCGATGTAAATGTCTGTGTTGATAGAATAATGTTTGAAATAAAACTAACCTTGCATTGTATGAATAGTTGCTCGTTGAGGAACTATTTCCTCATATATCAGTCCGCTGCTGCCAAACTTTCTATCAGGAAGTACAAGCCAATGCTGCTGCTTAGAAATAAATCCTTGCAAGATTGGTTTTACTTCTAATATTAATCTATCGACACAGACATTCACATCAACAGTCTGGCGTTATAATTGTTTTGCCTCGGGTGCTTTGTGGAGTGGGTAAGACTGTTTTTAGTGGCAGGCTAACTATGGCCATTGACATGCACTAGCGTAGCACCAGCGACCTCTGCAAATAAAAGGAAAGGATGGAATATTTTTAAAAAAGTGTCTTCACACGTCTCCAACACTTTGGCTAACTAGGAAATGAGGTCCTATGTCCAAAATTCCGAACTGTCCCTTTAAGGCATGTCATAATGTTACCTTCTTCAGTTGTGTTTTGTGTGGTAGAGACTGGACTGAGCTGAAATTATCCACATGATTCTAATGAAGGTCCATGGAGTTTAAAAGCGCAGTGGAGCACTTGTATTACCACGACATCACAATGTGGAACAGAGCGTTTTCTGTTTGAGAAGACCTTCTGTGTGTTAAAAATGAAACAAAACACAACTCCAGGTATGTTTGTGAAGAGTAAACAACATTATAGCATAGATCCAAAAATAGCAAAATATGGGCCTTTTAAGATGGGAATTGCACAGGCTTAATTAAAGGCGACTAAAGCTCTGCAGTGATTAGAAGTTTAATGAAGGTGAAACACTGGGTGATATCTCTTCGGTAAGCTATTCACTGCACTCATTTAAAGGGCTTATTTGTTTTTCTAGTTCAATACTTGAAATAATAATTAGCACAACATCTATTTCCTTAAGCCCACTAAAATTGAAGTATCATTTAAGTACTGGTGTAAAAAATAAGTTGTACGCAGCCCTATACTTATTGGATTTGGTCTAATGAAATGTAAATAATATATTCCAAACGGGTGCAGTTTACAAAGATGCCAGACTTTAAACTCTGTTCCAGACGTGTGCTGTGAACATTAAGGGTGTCAGCTCCATTTCGGTCTTTCTTTTCAAATGCAAATGAACACCTCAAACCTGCTTTACTGAGGTGTACAGCTGGAGCTTTCCTTTGGATCAAATGTTATGAGTGGCGTTCCTATTTCATTTAGTTTAGTTCAAGCAGGATGAAAAAGGACTTTGAAACTTAAAACCATGCTCCCACATAAAGAGCACAAATATTAAAGGTGCACAGAGTAACTTTTCTGGTGAGGGGTCTACAGCATGCTTCACTCAGTGGAGATAATGCCCACTCATAGTAGGAGTGCTTGTTTTTCTGTATATTTTCAGACCATAAAAACAACAGTAGGATAAATGCAAGACAAATAATTAACAACATCTCCGTTTTGATTGCCCCATCCCCTCCCCCCACTGGAGAAGTTACATTTTGCATCTTTAAATTCTGCTCAAAGGTCCTATATTACTCAAAAAGTTAGTTTTAAGATATGTTATAATGTTACCTAATCAAAAACATGGAGTTGTGTTTGCTTCATTGCTTCATTCACACGTTTGAGTAACCCTTAACCCATCTCTAAAGCTTAAAATGCTCTGTTCCACCTTGTGATGTCATGAAGCAGTAGTTTTCACGTTTCCCAGGGCTGACCCAGGGCTGACATTATCCAAATGATTGTGGTGAAGGTGTATGGAGTTTAAAAAGACAGTGAGGCTCTTACATGATATCACAAGGTAGAATAGAGTATTTTTTGTTTGAGAGCAGATCTCAGACTGAATATGCAAGGTTTGTGTGTTAAACGTATGAATGAAACAAAACACAACATGTATGATTTTCATGAGGAAACAACCTTGTAACATCAGAAAATAACTTAATATGAGCCCTTTAAACTGCATAAAATGCATCACTATTTGCAGACGGCATCAATTAATTTTCATAAATTCACCAAAACAATTTGACAGCAACAGCTGTGTTGATTTATAAACCTGTGGAGTACAATATAGGACTTTTTTCTTTAATCCAAAAAGTTTTATAGCTGAACAATAACTATAATCAGATTTAATGATTTCTTTTTCAGTCATTTAAATGTCCCACAGAGTGCAGTATCCATATTATGCATAAAAGAAAATTAATTTCCCAAGCAGTTTGTATTAAACAGTGAAATCAAAGCAACTCCACAGGGACTATATTCATTAGAATCTTTATTATTTTTGCAAAAGAGCCCTCTCCTCAGGCTACAGATTCATGACCGACTGCACAAATCCTTTCGAGTAGGAGTTTTATTCAAACTATTCTCCATGGCTCCATTCACTCCTCATGAAACAATAGATGTAACACAGAGCTTCTGTAAAAACTACATGTTGTGGATATAGTGATTTTTATTCTCATGCTGTTAAATGTCTCATTCACTCTGCACTGTGATTCAGACTTGTCCTCAAGAGCATGCCTCCATCAATGGGGACTGTTACTCAGCACTGATTCACATGGAGAGTTTTTGCTTTACAAAACAGAATTTACAAACAGTAAACTTTATCCATATTCAAGTTAGGAGTTTCCACTGTCTTAAGCTTGTTGGGACTGTTTTAAAAAGTAGGCCCATTGTTTTCTGATGTGTAAAACTAAGCCCTTTCCAAGCTAGATAGTAGGCAATGAATTAAAACAACACCCTGTAACTTTCTGGAGGTGAGATGTCATCTGCATGATTCCATGGAAACTTAAAACCACACTTCAGAATATTCTCCACAGAGATATTAACCGTGTCCCAATTTGAGGGTTCCCTGTAACCTTCGAAGGACCTGGCCTTCGAAGGTTACAGGGAACATTTCCATAGAGACAAGCAGAACAAAATCCTCCTCCAGGCCAAATAAGTGCCAGGATTGTGGAGCCCAAGCCCCCTCACAGGAAGCATGTTTTTTTGTTTTTAATGCAATAAAAACATGGAATTATTATTGTAATTTTTTTTTTTTTTTTTTTTTGGAGTCTAATATTGTTACACAGTGTGGCTTTAGGAAGGTGTATTATTGTCAGTATTCAGGCAGGATTAATAAATTCTTTTTGTATATGTCTAATGTGAGATTCATTTAGGATCAGAGTTGTACTTGCAAAATATGTCATCTTCACTTCAATCTTCAATCTTATTTATTATAGCTGATGGTTGCTTGGTAAATGTATTCAGTTGAATCAGTTCTACAACTTGCTTCATTGAATTGGTGTCTGACAGGATCTTGAACACCTTAAGATGATTTTTGGACTAGTGGCACACAGTTCTCACTGTGGAACCCAGTAGGGAAATCAAATATCTCCAAAACTTGCCACCCTTTGATTAGATTTTCTCCATGTAATCTGAATAATATCATATTGCAATTTGTGGTGGTGTGCAATAAATCTACTCTTTCCATTTGAGCTAGTTAAATTAGCTCATTATTTGTGTAGGGCTTAATATGAAATCTTTTATCAAAGTCATTAGCCTGGCATACAGGTAATATGAACCATTCATCTAAAGGTCGGCAAATATTTGGGCTTGAATATATTGTTTGTTTTCTTTTGTGGATCCTCATTAGCAGTGTCCATTCTCTATTGACCTGGCTCAAGTCTGAATCACAGTTATTGTTTGTGTCTGAAGCAGTCACCTTGGCGGGTTTGGTAATGTCTTTTAAAGTCATCTTTGCGACAAAAATCTCACAAAAGTCTTTGAGCAGATCTACTTTGAAGTGCTTTACACAATCCAAGCATAGATCCAGAGATTATTTCCCTTTAGAATCATCCTGTTGTGCATTTTCACGTCCTTTTGCTGGAGTCGAGACAAGCTCCAGTTAACCAAGCAGCACAGTTCAGTTCAGGGCTGTACACGTTATTTGGGTGGTTTTCAGATTCTACAGGTATAATGATATAATGAAAGATGAAGAAGAAAAGAAGCAGAAGAAAAGAAGAAGAATCTGGCTCAGGATCAGGGATCAGGGCATGGTAATTTCATGGTCAACTGTTTATCTCATGATCTATCAGTTGGAGGTTGCATTTTCAGCACAACTGTTTTTTTTTTAATTATTAATATGGATAAAACAAGCCATGTATAAATTACCTTGGACATAACTGTAAAAAGTCATGTCAAAATTATAAAGTAAAATAGTATATATTTGGTATGTATGACAAAGTTTACCTAAAACAGATTTTTCATTTTTCATTCAAGACAAGTTAGTCAAACACGTTTTTGGTGACTTTGAGTACTCAGAAATGTTGCTGTCCAGGAGTGTGTTACTGAACAGTGTTACTGAACTGAACTGTACTACTTCTGTTGCTATCATCATGTTGTAAGTCCTCTGCTAAGTTCCAGCTTTCAGTTCTGCTGCCTCTGAACTGCCATAGACTTCCTCCTGTGTACTACTTGGGGCTCTATGATCCCATGATAACTGTCAGTCTCTTGTGAGTCTTCACTGTTCTGAGACTTGGTCGAATCCTGCGAGTCCGGCTTTTGTCTCAACGCACGATTCTGCTCCTCCCTCAGCTCCACGTAGGACCTCGAAAACGTGTGAAAGATGGACGTAACTGGGAACGCCATTAGCAGGATACCACTCAAAATGCTGCTAAGTGCCACCACCTGTCCTGGAATACTCCTCGGTACCATATCTCCATATCCCACCGTTGTCATGGAGATTACAGCCCACCAGTAACTTCCAGGGATGCTCGTGAACTCTTGCTTGGCGCCAAATTCACTCTCGGCTAAGAAAACCAGCGGAGCGAACAGGGCCATAGCAACGCAAAGAAACAAGAGGAGCAAACCAAATTCTCTCGTACAGCGTCGGACCGTCAAACCTAGCGTCTGGAGACCCAAGGAGTGCCGCGCCAACCTCATGACGTAGAAGATCCTCAACGCTCGGAGAACTCTGAGAACCAGTCCCACTTTCTCCAAGTAGTTGTTTCCGGATCCGCTTTTTTTCCCGCCGACGGAAAGAGTGTCTACGATTAGCGTGATGTAGTATGGTAAGATGGCTACCACGTCGATCACGTTCAGCGGCGTCCTCAGGAACATGCATTTGCTCTGGGTTTGGATGAAGCGAAGCACGAACTCCAAGGAGAACCAACCCACGCACACGGTTTCCAGCACGAAGATGTTATGGCACTTCTGGGAGCACTCACCCTGCAACAGACAAAACACACAAGGATAAGGACATGTGCCACGGGGAGAAAGATAGCTTACAGTTGAGATAAGAACTGTGAAGTTGGTAATTAAGAAACCGTTTGCGAGCTTGACTGGTGGGTTGCAGACTTTGATCTAGTAACAAAATGCTGATTTGGATGCTCCATGGAACAAAGAGGAGCAGACTAGTGAGGCTTAAAACAAGGCTTTGATTGTGTCATCTGCTGAGTGAAGATCAAGGCATGGGTTAAGTAAAGAACAGAGGGTGGATCTGGTTTAGACATGGTGAAATCATTCAAAGAAGGCATTTTTGTGAGTCAGATAAAGAAAAATCATAATTAAAATACATCCATTTAGATTTTTAGAATTCTAAAAATGCTGACAGTTATCTGAATGTCAGAGTTTCAATCACGTATATAGTAATATTGGGACAAAAGTGACTCATATAAGTTATTCATTTACTCCATATGGGTGGATTGACACCAAAATATGCAGATTTTGAGATACAAAAGTTCAATTAGTATATCATAGAAATTTCAAAGGGTTTAGAAGCATGAAGCAGAGCATGTTTGGGATCATTGTCAGCTTTTTATTCTCAGCTGCAGTAGGAGAAAACTGATACAGATGTGCCTGCCATTCTCTGAACACCAATCAATCCCAGTTTCTTTGAATATATTATACCAAGGGTTGAAGTGTCTTGCAAAAGCCAACAGCAGCATGCAATGTCAGTAGTGAAGACTGAACCATCAACCTCCAAGCTTGTGGTGAAAGTCCCTGTGTACAGGTTATTGTAGGTCACAAGTGTTCATATTTATATATTGATTGTGAAAACCTGATGCTTCTCCCTAGTTCTGCCAGCTCTCATTTGAGTTGCCTAATTGGACAAAGCATTATTAGCAGGGGTCAGAGGATCAACCAACATAAGTGTATACTGTCATTCAAAATAATTGCAACCATTGTGTCAGTTTCTCTTGTCCATGTGCCATAAATCTATTGTAATCACATAATGTATACTTGGAAACAGCTGGTTCCACTAAGTAAGTAAGTTTTTATTTGTAAAGTGCTTTTCACAGACATATATCACAAAGACACTTTTTACAGAGCATTATTCATTCACTCCATACCCAGTGGTGGTAAGCTACTATTGTAGCCACAGTTGCCCTGGGGCAGACTGATGGAAGCGAGGCTGCCAATCTGCACCACCCAGCCAACCACCATCACTCCACCATCACTTTCATACTAGGGAATGTGGGTGAAGGACACAATAACACTCCACTGTGGAACCTGATTTTCCCAGTGGTCTCCCATCCAAGTACTAACCAGCCCCAGCCTTGCTTAGCTTCTGAGATCTGAGGGGATCAAGCTTTGACAAGCCTTTGTCCACAAATGATGTATAAATGCATGTTTCCTAGTAATCAAACCAGACACCATAAAGAACTACAGCACACACAAGTAAATCTTTCTTGTTTCCTAATGTATAAAGATCCTGCTATAAGGTTAATGTGTTTTTCTGAGCTGCTGAAATGGTGCTCATAAATATTTGAAAATACAATTATAAGAAATTACGAGGTTATTAAGCCTAAGTCACCCCTGAAGGGAAGTAGAAAAAAGAGCATTTCATCATTTTGCATTTGGTTAAGTATTATTAATTTTTATTGTTGGGATGCGGGGAGGGGAGAGAGCAGGGCTGTATAGCTAAGAGGTTGTAGATTCAGTCTTAAACTCAGCAGAATCGTTATGTAGAACATAAGAGAGATGTATTTTATATTTTAAGTAGAATCAGCTCACCTACTCCCTATACTCTATATTCTTTCATTAAACCTCCATACTCGAAAGTGGTAAAGAATAAACACAACTATATTAGAAATGTACTGGTAATTAGAAAAAATAAATTACAATGTATTTGATTTCTTCCCACCAAATAATGCTTACAACAGTATAATATCACTATGTTAGAAATATATAATTCTAAGTATTATTTATATAAAAAAAAATAATAATAAATTGAAGTGGTGCTTCTGTAGCTATGAATGTAGCAAGTCGTCCAACTTACTCGCATTTGTCCAGTTGAATTGGAAGCTTTTAATACAGGTCTTCTTTAAACTATGTTAACTTTTACGAGCTCCTTTCCCTTATATATTTATGGAGGTTAAATGTTTAGTTAAATGCTCAGAGGGTCATCAGAAGACATTCCATTCCAACTGACTGACTTAAAGAACAAAGCCTTGCTCTTGGAAACATCTCATGCATTTTTAAAACTATTGTACTGCTGCATTTGACTGATACTGGCCTGGACCAGCTCAAACCATTAAAGTCCAAGCAAATCATGAATGGATAAACTAACTCAAGGGGGTACTATTAGAAAAAGACTGTTGGTCAAAGTGTTCAAGCTTTATTCATTATTTATGTCTCACATCCAATATCGAGCGGTTATGTGTGAGATGTAATATGGTATTCATAATTTCCTGGCATATCCATTTTGTCATATGGGAAGATGTGGGCTACTCCATCATATCGAGAATTTCATGTTAATTCATTTTGGTTCCCAAGGAAATAAGTTTATGGTTACCAGGGACCAAGTTGAATGATTATAATTACTTTTTTCTATTCATGAAATCTATATTCTTTTAATGTTTGATTTTATTTATCGTTTGTTGCTGTGTTGCTGTCACAGAGAGTTAGATCATACAGCCAAACTGCAGAGAGAGAGATGTGTCAAATAATGCATTTCACTTTCTCTGTATTCTCAGTTGCCACGGCACAGACTAATTTAGATGTATTTTCCTCTCTGCGACCGACCACCACCAACCAAGCACCACCACTGTTTGTCTCCATGGAGATGTTATTTCAGTGGTTGGAATGTTCCACTTTAAACCTAAATATATCGTGGAATAAATCTTTTTCAGATTTATTAAATTACAGGAGTTTGATCTCCCATCTGACCTGTAATATGTCTCTAAGGAGAGACGTGGAAATAAGTTAAATGACATGCTATTGTACATTCTTTGCTTGACCAGCCAGTCCCTTCTACATTTTGTTATAATCCAGAAGGGACTGGAACCAGACTGGGTTAAAAAAGACCTCTGTCCAAATTTCAGACGATCCAATCTCAGCCGCTAATTTGTGTCCCTCAAATGCAGAAGAAGAATCTCCTCTCCAAAATTATCACATAATTCAGAACAAAATATATAACTTCTTTTACCTGATATAAGTAATATTTTGGTGCTTCGATTGTTAATTCTGTAAAAATCTGCGCTGTGTCATGTTTGCTTTTGACACAAATGGACTCTGCATCTCTCTGGTTAATCCGCCTCAATCATGCCCTCTGAAATCAGGGAAACAGGATATGGCTCCATTTCTCTTTGTAAAGTCTGCAGGGAGGAGGTAACTGCAGGCAGATATAAGGCAGTATCCACCAGCATTCTGATCAGAACTGAAGAAGCAACTTGGATGAGCTGCGAAACATTTTTGACCTAAATTAACGTTTGTCCAGTTGACAAATTGAATTTCTCCTTTGCCATGGACTCTACCTGGACGACTGAGGGATTCTACACATATTTTAAGGTCAGAAGTATTTGTATGTATTGACTAAAACAGTACTAATCTAACTGAACCAATGCATTGTCTCGTTATAGCCATACTCAGTAGCCTTTATAGCGACAATTCCACATATAACACCAACCACATAAATGGACATCCAAAAGTTAACCAGCCCATAGACTATTTAAATCTTTCCCTTTAGCTCAGTTATAGATGAGTTCTGTGGCTTGCTAAAGCTACACAACATTCAGTCTCTATTGGGCTTTTTGGGCTTTTAAGCATTGACAAATGTGCTTTTCAGTCTCCAAACTCCCATAACACTCCGGGACATTAGCGCGTTCCAGTAAAAAGCAATGGAGTGGAGAAAAGCCAGCCTTGGTTCAAACTAGAGCTAAATCCTCCCTCTAACCACATGGTCATATTCTGTTCTAGTGCAGCCAAACAAATACATGAGTTTAGGGGCCCACAGGCTGGCTCACTGCAAATGCAAATACCCCACTATGTTTGACAGTCACATACTGTGCACTGCTCTATAAAACGAATGTGATTTTGGAAGAATTGCAGTAAAAGATTCCAAAATTATATCTGTGTGGATTTCCAAAATGCAGTTATGAAAATTTAGGCAAAATGGTCTGGGCAGGATAATGTGATTTAATCTAAATCAATGATTCTCAAACTATTTGCATGAAATCCAAATCTAAACCAGGTCTATAACAGGACTATAACAGGTTTAAATTAGGTCTAAAATCTGAAATAGAACTTAATATGACTAAAGTAGCTCTCAGAATTAAGAACTGACTCAAAAGAAGACAAAAGACAAAAATGTGAAACACTGATGTTGTATATAAATATCATCTTCATTTAGTAATGGACTTTATTTTGTTTCAGAAATATGATACAAATAGTCAGTCATAACATCAGCTTCACAATCAGTCACCTTTCAAGCTCATCAATCCATTCATGTGAACACAGTCTCGGTCCCCTCCCTTATCCTGTTATTTCACAAACTGCTACAACCTTCATCTGCCCCATCTCCACTGCAGCAGTAAAAGCATCAGCCAACGCAACCTCACCACCAACAATGATTAATACTGATTTCTCATTATTTAAAGAAGACATATTCTACTGGTGTCTACTGTAATTGATGACATCCGTGGATCATTGTGTTATAATTTAGAATCCGACATTTCACTAAGAAAATAAAATGGGAGAACAAAGAAAGTACAGAGAAGTGGGTGTGTACCAGGGATGTTGAAAATGGGAGTTGATCTGCAATATGGCGTGTTGGACATAAGAGAACAAAGATCACGCTAAAACATGTACAAATTTCTTGAAGAAACACAAACTAATTTTAATTAGAAAAGATTATAAATAAAATTTCATATTTGTGTTTTATACTCTTTCTCGCTTTCAAATACATACATTGTCTTAAAACTGTATATCTTAGTTGTTTATTTATT